TAATTCGATTTAACGGCGCTAACTTCGACATAAACGCCTAGTGTAGACCAGGCCTAAAGCTATTTAAAGGGGACATAGTCCCTTTATCGTTGGTATATGAACTATAGTTTTTTTATTCAGTTAAGCATTGCCCATGTAGATGCCCACTGTCAGGTCACACATCTGGAGGCCGCAAGCCCAAGAAGAGACTGCAAAGCACTGATTGTTGAGGTTATTCATGTACCCTCTTTGGATCTGAACATATGTGAAAACAGAAAAAATGTACAAAATGGAAAAGTCAGAGGTGACAATTTGAGCTATATGTGAAAACCTAGCTCAAATTGTCATTCTCTGCCTTTTCCATTTTGTACATAGGTTTAATTAATGTTAAGTAACTCTGCTGCTTGGCTCCAGGCACACAAATGATCGGGCAAGAGAGAGGAAAATCCCCCAAAACAATTCCATCCCACCCAATTCAGTGCTTTCAGGCAAGTGCCTAAGAGGAAGATTCTGTCTCAAAATCAGGGGCAGATTTTCATCCAGACTCATTCCATCTAGCAGCGTGAATCTTAGCTCCCTTTTAGGTAACTAACCTTGTCAGACCATTCAAAGTTTACAAGTAAATTGAAATTTTAAAAAAGCTGGTTACGCATGTATGCAAAGTTGGGCTTAAATTGCAGCAAGGGAGGTTTAGGTTGGACATTAGGAAAAACTTCCTAACTGTCAGGGTGGTTAAGCACTGAAATAAATTGCCTAGGGAGGTTGTGGAATCTCCATCATTAGAGATATTTAAGAGCAGGTTGGACAAACACCTGTTAGGAATGGTCTAGATAATACCTAGTCCTGCAGTGAGTGCGGGGGACTGGACTAGATGACCTCTTGAGGTCCCTTCCAGTCCTATGATTCTATGTATAGAAATATAAATGATGGTTTACCAACCATCCCTCAAAGCTGCATTCTCTGTGTCCTTTCAGCTCAGAGAGGGACCTAGTGCAGATGCTTATTTATTTCTGATACTCCTTTCATAGTGTTCTATAAAAGGATAAAGGTAGTACTGTGTCCACATTCTAAATTCCTTGATCTTTACTCCATCTTAATCAGTGCATCCATTTCCCATCCTTTGCAAAATTTCACAGCTTATCTAGGGAAAGCTAAATCTGGGTAGGGTAAAAAAAACCCAACCCCTTTCATAAGACTTCAGCATGGTTTTTAGTAATTTTTTTTATAAGTCCAGAGAATCTGTATCTGTTCATAGATCTAAATAGATTAGACTCTGTATTCAGTTTTCAGCCCTCTTAACAGTGGATATTCCAAGGTAGTTCTTGATGGGAAGAGAGGGTACTCAGTTCTTAGCCTTTGCAGATTCACACTAACCCACCCTCCTTTCCTGCTTCTTCACAGTCCTTGGATGATATTTTGAGTAATAGGAATGAACTTAGGGCATTTAGGATCATGGTCCCTTGACCTCGCACCTAATGTTCAGATCTGTGAGGATGTGCATGCTACTGTGGCGGTGATATAATTGAACTCCAGTTACAGGTGAGCAGCCATCCTCAGTGCTGAATACCCCGTAGCCTGTTAGAGGGAACCAACACAAATCTAGGATTATTGCAGTTCCTATTTTTGCTTTGTAGTTCATTTTCAGCATTGAAGGGTTAAATCTTTACGCCTTTTACCTTGCTGTTTTATATAGCACCCGTGAGCGTCGGGAGAGACAGCAGCATTTGCAAACCATACGGGAACGAGAAGAAAGAGACAGGCTTGAGATCGCTCGAGAGCGCCTACAGATTGAACGAGAGCGCCTGGAGCGAGAGCGGATGGAAAGAGAGCGCCTGGAGCGAGAGCGAATGCACATAGAACATGAAAGGAGACGAGAACAGGATCGCATACAGCGAGAGAGAGAGGAGCTGCGTCGTCAGCATGAGCAACTTCGCTATGAACAGGAACGGCGATCGGCACTGAGAAGACCATATGACATAGATGGGAGGTAAAAACTCCAAATACAGTGAGTTAATGATTTCCCGTTTGTTGATGCAAGTAGAAAAGCTAGCAGTCCTTAGATTCTCTCTGGAAGTCCCAAACCACGGAGAGAACTACGTAGGCGGACAGTCATTGATGGGCTTTTCTGTCAAATGCTCCACTAGATTACATGCAGAAATGTGCTTGTCACTATTAAACAGTTCAGTCAGTAACCATTCTTAAACACATTAAACTCTTCATAGAGTTACCTATAACAGTTCACTCTGAATTGAGAAAACTCAAAATATAGTAAATTCCCCTAAATCCCTACATGGATTAAAAGATCCATGTAATTTCAAAAAACCTACTTCGATCTATCTTTCTCCCTCTGTTGCTGATAGGAATCTCATTTTGACAGGAGTTCAGGCAGTCTGTTTTAAGAGGCCCTCAGGGAAAAGTTGACTGAGGGATTGTGTGTGGCACGCTGGGATGTAAAGCTACCTTGTGCTAGCTTGCCATGCACCAACTGTCTCTGTGGATTCTGCTGCTGCCCACTAAAAGTTTCCGGGTGTACTGAAGACAGGTAGATCAAAGCACAGTAGGGAACTTTTAGTGCACAGCATCAGAGTCTACACAGTTAGTGCATGGCAGGCTAGTACAAGGTAGATTTACATCCCAGCGTGCCCTGCCCTAATAGTTCATATAAACAGGGCTTGTGACAGATGGACAAATTACTGTAGAAAATCTTAAAACAAATGCAGATAGAAGAAAATATTTCTTCTCTTGTTTCAGCACATGCACAATAAGGCAAAGATTGATATAGGTTAGCTCAACAGAGTCTTTTTTCTGAAACTCAGATACTGTTTTGGCAGATCAGATTTTAATAATCAAATCTAATTATTAACTGCTCAGATATATCACAGAATAGAAATGGAATAATGTATTTCCTTAATTTAGATTCAAAGAAACATGGACAGAACTGATAACAGTGTAATTCATATAATTTTTGTAATTCTGTGTACACGTACTGTAACTCATAACTTGTACTGCCTCAGCTCTGCTGTATTCCTTTCTCATATCTGTCACCTCTCCTCTTCTGTAAGAAAATATCTTATCCTGTAAACAATTATGCTTATCTTTAAAAAAGGGTAGTAATTAAATGAGACTAGAGATGAAGAGAACGAAACAGAAAGATGATTCTATCTGGACTACAATATTGTATTAAATCTCTACTTTATTATAGGCGAGATGACTCCTACTGGCCAGAGGCAAAGCGAATGGCGATGGATGACAGATACCATTCTGATTTTAGCCGCCAAGATCGCTTCCATGATTATGACCACAGGGATCGTGGCCGATACCAAGACCATTCTATGGACAGGTTAGTGTTTTGTTTTCCTGCATTGCCTGAAATCAGGTAAAGGCAATAATATATTTAGTATGGCATTTTTCTCTATTTGTTTGATAAATACTGTTGTTGTTTTTTTTAAAAAAGGACCTCAGAGCTTGTCTATTCTTGTTCCATGCTGAAGTTTGTAAGTGTCTATGGGGTTTACTTGTGAAACCTGTGTAACCAGAAGAAACCTTACAAAATAAGGTGTTTGAATGTACTGTGTCATCAACTAAAAGCTTCCAACAAATTTGTTCAAAATGTGAGAAATAGCATTACAAGCAAAACTTATTGCAATAGGACTCATAAAGTCCCTGACACAGCATTGTGAGCACCCAGCACTTTTTTCCCATGACTAATTGGTTTCTTTCATATTTATATATTCCCAGTGTTGCAAGTCAGAAAGTTGCCAAATGTTTTAAAAGCTCACACTAACATGTAGACAAGATAAATGTCTCTACAATGAATATTCTATTTACCTTCTTCTGTTGAGACTGACCAGAATGTTTCACAGTTTCCATATGTGCAGGTGAAATTTGATACTTTGTAAAGATTGAGAATCTACAATTCCAGCAGAAACCTGTGCTCAGCAGCTGTGAAAATACAGCCCTAAATACTTTGTATACGTTACAGTTTAATAATGTTATTGCAAGATTCTGATTCAAATTGCTCCTTTTCAGGAGAGAAGGATCAAGAACAGTGATGGGAGATCGCGATGGGCAGGTGAGTTGTATTGGGTATATTGGCCTAGAGTAGCTTAATTTTTATAAACTGATTTCCTATACTGAATGTCAGATTAATTTATAGTGAACTAGTGTAAGAGATGCAGATAAGGAAAGGAAAACGTATGCATTATAAAATTTAATTTATTTTTTAAATAGGTAAAAATGAAAACACTTGAGTAATCTGATTGCTTGTTCTATTTACTGGTACACAAATACATCAGAAGTAATTCCTCTGGCACAATAAACACAACTAGTGAGTGTCTCGGTATGGTAAAGTGTACCAAAAGGGTGCATAGAAAATGCAAAGGCACAACATAGAGGTAAAAGTGAGTAAGGAAGTCATTGGAAGAATTTAATTTCACACAGTAACTTTCAGATTAAACTAGACCAAAATGAAATTAGCAAAAAAGTTTTGAAGTTGTTTAGAGGAAAATTTTTGCTCTAGTGGTGACATTCCTAGATGGGCTTTCTGAAATCTTGCGATCCTAACGTGCCCTGTACTGATAGATAGGTTATTGAATTGGGTAAAGTCTATTGACCAGCTCTTACCAAATTGAGGATCAGGTTACAGCATTCCAACGTGTACCCTTCATCTTTCAGCATTATGCAGATGAGCGCCATGGAGGACCAGATCGTCATTCACGAGACTCACGGGACAGTTGGGGTGGATATGGGTCTGACAGAAGAATGAGTGAAGGGAGAGGGATTCCTCCACAGTCTCGGTTAGTATGTGGAAATGAGGGCAGTCTTTCACCAGCACTTGCAATGGTCACGCTTCTTTGAAACTTCAAATGAACTTTTTGAAGGGTGATAGTAGGGAACCGGTTTTACCAGAGTAAATCCTCTCTCCAAATAGTTTCACTGAGGGTCTGTTCTCTCCTGGCTGTGCAATGGATTTACACATGTAGCGCCCCTGGGCATCATGGAGCTCTATAGTAAGGAGTTGCTGTGCTTTGCCTGTGTTCTCTTTAAGGCTTCCTCTTCTAAGGGTGAAATTTGATTATGACCCTGGTGCTCCTGAAATTCTTTGAAGAGTGAGTAACTTTTAGCTAGTGGACTGAATTTGAGACTGTTAAATGGAAGAGAAGCCAGAATCTTAATGGAAAACCCAATATGGGACAAACCTGGAATCCCAGACAGTTCTTGTTTAACCATCATGCCAGTCTCAGTATGAATTAAGATTTTCCAACTGTATAACTGAAGCACTCGCAGGTATTCAGTGAAATTACTTCATTAATCTTCCTTTTATTGCAATATTAAGATTTATTGTTGGTTACTTCTGTGTCTATTCACGTTTGTCAGTTCCACAGTAGGGTTTTACCTCTGATTTTCAGTTGAAGTGGCAGGGACCAGCCTGGAAGAGCATTTAACTCCCTTCAGGAAAACAACCCAGTAAAAACGCTTCCAAAGCTGAACATTTTGTTAACTTTAAAATTAGATACTATTTCCTCTGAATAAGCCACTCTGCAGAACATGACAAGATACATTGTTCTCAGATTGAATTTTGATTAGTGGGTTGGTCAGAATGGCCAGCCTGGATACTCGGAGAAGAAGTCATTGTGCATCAAATATACCCTGTTGCATAAATAGGATTAAGGAAATGCTATTTCCTCATTTGTTACATTAGGTGGATTGTTCAGCAACTTTATTACTGAGGTATGGTTAAACAGCTGAACATTGTAGATTCAGGATTGGTAAGCTTGTATCTTGGTAAAGGATACTAATATGTTTATGAATGAGATGTTAGGTTTGGCTTCACTGCATGCTATGAAACTGGTAAGAAACATACCTAAAGATTTTTCTTCCTTTCTTTCCTTCCAGAGATGGACGTGATTGGGGAGATCATGGTCGAAAGTTTGAGGGACATAAAGATCGTTCGTGGCAGGGCAGTGCAGATGGAATGATGGGACGGGATCATGAGAGATGGCAAGGTACACTTACTGCTTTATTGCTAATTGCTGCTAGACTTCTACTGGTAAACATAGAGCGTTATTAGCATAAAGAAAGCAAAACTGGAATAGGGGGAATAATAAAGGGAATGCTTGAACATTCTTTTTAATTCTAGGTGGTGGTAGAGGCAGACCAGGCCATGCAGTGCATCGGGGAGGCCTGTCAGGGTAAGCAGCTTTATCAAGGATAATTGGGGTTTGTACCTTTTTATTCCCATTCCCTTCCCTTTGTAACAGTCATTCCTTTGCATGTTTAAATTATTCAGCAGAATCTTTTGTGAGAAAACAAAAGTTATTTGGAGTTATGCAAAGTAAACTAATTCAAGAACGTTTGTGATTTGTCATTGATCCAATGTCAGTGAGTAATAAATATTCCCATGATTTTTATCTGGTGCATCTTACTGAATGAAAATCATACAAGAAACGCAAATGGCACCAATTGTATCAATTTGATAATCGAGATTGCAGTGAAAACTTAAACACTTTGAAGAAAACTTCGTGTGTGAATCTCTTTGTAGGCGTGGCAGCTTCATGCAGAGTGGCAGTCAAGGCCAGATGGTGCATGGCGGAGGGATTCAAGGGGAAGGATTTGCAGGCCAGGAGAGAGCAAACAGACCCAATGACCCTCGTTTCAACCGTCGCTACTGAATGTGTTTTAATTTTTTAATGTGAGATGGCAACAGAGGTGAATTCTCTATTACCCAGGGTTACCGTTAATTGTAACCGATGGGTTACCGTAAATGTGTAATTTTTTAAGCTGCTGCCATATTATATAGCTCACTGCAATGTGAACTCCTTTGTTTTTGTAATGTGTTGTTCATACCCCATTTAAAATGTTAGTCGATGAAGCATTCCATTTTCCATAAATAAAACCAGTTTACAGTTAACTGTCTTCTGTCCCAATGCACTGCAAATGCCAGAGTTAGAATTTGACCAGGAGGTCATCTGACAAAGGGGACTGCAACTTAAAAGGAGGATTCTCTTACCAGCCATTTTAGGGACAGAGAAACAGGCTAGATGGAGAAGAAAGAGAGGAAGGTCCAGGAACACAGAACAGACACTGACCAAATCCCGTAAGGCTCTTGGAGTGATGAGGAAACAGGCAGAGATTTGTGTCCAGTGTTTGTATTTCCACTAGGTCTCTCAAAATTCACTTGTGAATAATTTTACTGGAATGAACTCACTTTTATTCTGGAATAGTGTGTGTCCACATAGGGAACACTGAGTGGTGCCCCCAAGCAAGGCAGAGGATCATTATTCTTATGGGTTGGTCTACACTTATGGTTAGGTCACCATAGCTATGTAGGTCAGAGCGGTGAACAGAACACACCCTGACTGACAGAGCTATGATGACCTCACCCCCAGTGTAGATGCAGCTGTGTCGCTGGACAAAGGTTTCCTCAGTAGAAACAAACTTTTGTTTTGGGAGATGTTCCTACATCACCAGTAACCCCCCTTCCACGGGGGTAGGCTGCATCTATGCTATGAGGTTATGGCCGCACATCCACCTCAATACAACTACACCTCTCCCCTGATATAACGCTGTCCTCGGGAGCCAAAAAATCTTACCGTGTTATAGGTGAAACCGCGTTATATCGAACTTGCTTTGATCCACCAGAGTGCGCACCCCCCCCCCCCCAGCACTGCTTTACCACATTATATCCGAATGTGTGCCGCGGCTCTGCAGCTGTGCTGCCCAACCCGGTGCTCGGTGCTGTGCGGTGGCGTGGCTGGCTCCAGCCGGGCAGCACAGCTTCCTGTCCTGGTGCTCTGGGCAGCGTGGCTGTAGCATCGCCAGCCACTGGTGCACTAGGCAGCGCGGTAAGGGGAGCAGGGAGGGTTTGATAGAGGGCAGGGGTGTGGATGGATGGGGCAGGGGTCCCGGCGGGGGTTGGATGGTGCGGCAGGGGGCAGTCAGGGGATCCGGGGAGGTCGGGACAGGGAGGGATGGATGGGGGAGGAGGGGGTCAGATGGGGGTGAGGGCCTGGCCATGCCTGGCTGTTTAGGGAGGCACAGCCTCCCCCATCCCTCCATACAATTTTGGAAATTCGATATGGCCCTCAGGCCAAAAAGTTTGCCCGCCCCTGCCTTGGTCAAAAGATGCTTCTGTGACCACAGTAACCCGGAGCAGGTCAGAAATCTGAGGAAATCAACCTAGCGCTTAGCAGCTGCTGCAAATCGGAACATGGGGGTAATGAAAGGGATTGCAAGCCCTGGATTGAAAGCGCCAGGAGCACCTGGGTGGGGAGGGAGTTGGGTTTCATAAGATGACTTGGGAGGATTAAAATTTCTTTTAAATTAATACCAATTTCCTTCTGCGCCATTAATAATCCCTGACATAACTCGGACAGATGGAAACTTTCCTATCTTTGCTTATTTTCACCCTTCTCCCTACCTAGATGGCCAGATCGTGGGTTCCAATGCATTCTGTGCAGTGGTTACCATCCTAATCACAGCACAACCTGGGAAATTGCTTACGAGGTGGGGGATGGCCCTGCCCCCTTACCTTGGTAACCCTGTGGTGTTACACATCGTGCCCCTGCGATTGGCTGGCTGGCTGAAAGAGAGGGTTGGGTGGGTTTAAAAGTTGGAGGCTACTGTATGTACCACTCAGTTACAAGCTGAGGATGGGTGACTGCTGGGTCCGTGTGTGGCCTGGTAGCCCCCATCCTCCTGGGCCCAGCCACTCTCATCTCTCCAGGAGGTCTCCATGAGAGTAGCTGTCGGCCTGGCCCAGGAGCTGGGCTCTGCATGCTGGGTTCACTCCCTGCCCCTTCTGATCTGAGGTCGCTCTCAGGCTGCTTCTGCGTCCTTCCTGAACTCTGGTGCAGGCACAGTAGTATTTGTGTCTCTTGCATGCAAAAGCCTCTTCAGCTTAACACATTTAGAGGCTTTTTTTGGTGTGTTTTTTACATTTTTGGTGGCCAGAAGAGTAACCCGTCTGCTGCAAACACCTAATTACAGGGTGACGGGCCAGGGTCCAGTCCACCTGGGACTTGTCAGCTGCCTCCCAGCTGGGCTTAAGAGAAGGCACCTGGGCCATATAAAGGAGAGAAACTGAAAGGGGCAGAAGAGAGTGGGCGCCATAAGGCAGGGAAGCTTGGGTGTCCTTGCTCCCACATGTGGGGGTGGCAGGTGCCACTTCACATTCCCAAGGAAGTGAAGGGAACGGGAGCCAGACACCATGAGGATCAGTCATTGCGTGCACTGGAAGTATGAGCTGTAGGACAGACACAAGAGGATACTGCAGTGCATGGATGAGTCACATCACAGTTACGCTGACGACTGCCCAAAACTGGGAATCAGGCATTTGCTCCAGGGGGCAACCCACTGTGTGGTCTCAGGACCTTACGCTCTGCTCGGCTGGGGAACCAACACCCACCCCACTGTCACCATTTCCCTGCAGAGCCTGGCCAGCCCAACTGTCTCCCCTGGGTCCCTTCCCTCCTCCTGCTTTGTCCTCAGCCCTCTGTCCCAAGTCCCAGTGCCTTTTATGGAGCCCTCTCGCCCCGGTGTATCTTCATCACTACTCCCCACTCCAACCAGCCTGCTTGCTGACCCTTCCCTGTCTGTGGGCCCCCTCCCTCACAGGAGTTCCTGTGATGCCTCCTGGAGGTACCTAGGGTTGTGATGCACCTCTCTGCCATCTGCCCTTAGCTGGGGGGAAGTCTTGACTGTGCACGACAGGGCTCAGCTCCCGGACTCACCAGCCCTGGCAACCCAAAAGCTCCCCTCTGGACCTTATGCAGGCCGTATGCTCTCTACAGATTGGCACCTCCAAGCACGTCCCTGAACATCCAGCCCCTGTGCTGCTGGAAACTCACTGTAGAGTATTCACGGCTTCGCTGCAGTCCTTAGCCGTGTTTACAGTTTATGTAATGATGTACAGAGATTCAAGTGATTGGGGACAAATGGTTACGTAGAAAATAAAATCAACGTGCATTCTAGAGGCTAGACTTGCCGGACAATGCTCACCCACAGTCCTTCCAATGTTTTACAGCCAGGCTTGGCTGTGATCTTCCATTCATGAGACAAGTTGTGCTGTCAGCTTGTCTCCTTGGTGAAAGATCCTGGATGCCTGTTTGCACCCCCAGATAGAACAATATGTTCCCCTGCCCTCACACCCCATTGTTTTTTCCTGTGTGTAGATTTTGCAATCTATTAATCTGGCTCAGTTTGCAAATAGGCCTACAAGGTAAGAGACACAATGACCAGACAGGGAGATAAGCAGCTTTTACCCCTTGCCTGAAAGGAACCTGTCCAAGACAAGTCACCTGGTTACCTGCTTTAAGACCATAATTTTCAGCATAGACACATAATTCCTTGAATATTAGCGGTACAAACATTTCACAATGATTGATGACCGGTGGGCTACTGGCTCTTGGTAGAGCTCTGGACCAGGGAGGTTGTGGAATCCCCATCATTAAAGGGTTTTGAGAACAAGCCAGTGATACCTCCTTAGGGAAACACGTTGCGATCTACTGCTGAAAAGTACTATCAGGAGATGGGTGTTATTACCATGTAGCACTTTGGGTGTTAAGTCCTACAGCTAAAGATGAGAAGCATCCTTCTGTATCTAGTAATTGATACAGTTCAGATTCCCTCAGGCAAGTAAGTTGACTTAGTTTATCCCAAACCGGGGAGTGGATACTGAGCCCAATAAAATCAACTTACTCTAAATTGTTTCGGTTGGTTGGTTGGTTTTATTATTTACACTGTTCAGTCAGAAAAGAACCATAAATGTTTGCAGTCTCAGGTGCATTCCAACGTGAATTAGATTATAGAGCAAACCTCCAAAAAGGCACTGCCGTTTCTAACCCTGTTGTGGGGTTTGCTGCATCTGAAAACAGGAATTAAATTCAAGATGAAAGCTCAGTGTAGATTTTTCTCCGAGGGGTTACAGAAGACAAGTTGCATTTCTCCCTGATTCCATTAGGTGGCCATATTAGACCGTATACACACAAGGTAGGTGAGGCAATATTTTTTATTGGACCAATGTCTGTTGCTGAAAGAGACGAACTTTCGAGCTACAGGGTCTTCTTGATCTCACCCACCTTGTTTCTCTAATAGCCTGGGACCAACTGGCTAGAACAACACTGCAAACAATGTATACTACGCTCATCCCTTTTCGAAATAGCAGCAGTAGTCCATGTGGCACTTGGTACCAAATCAGTGATATTTTAATGGTGGATTTGATAACCTATAAGGCCTTATTCAAGCCAGTAACCGTTCAACATGTTCTGCAATGCCCCAAATGCCAAAAAGTGCAGCCAACTCAGTTGCATCCTGAGAAATCAAACCTCGTTAGAGCTGGCAGCTGTTTTGAACAACTGCAGCAAATATCCCAACACTTAAATCTCTTTATATCCTTTCCCCCTAATCTATCTTCTCTATTTAGAGTATAAGCACTTCGGGACAGGGACTGTCTCACTGTACAGTGCCTAGCACCATGAGGCCCTGTTCTTAGCTGGTCCTCCGGCACTGCCATAACAAACATGCTAAATACATAATCAAACTGTCTCCTTGCCTTATTCTATGTTGGCCTACGTTTTTCTAGTGATTTGGGGGGACATAATTTTTCAGAAGCCCAATGTGTGATACCTTCCAAGCACCCACGCTTGGAAAACAGGGGCCCTTTTGGTTGCCTCAAGTTGGGCACCCCAGATCAACGAATCGCTTTTGGAAATATAGACCAGCTGTATTTTAAGTGTATTTACTACCCAACAAAATACAGACGAACTGAATGCTGCTGCCATGTGCCACGTGTACTGCTGAGTTACTCTCCGCAAACCCAGCTGCCGCCTCCGCAACGGCAGGACAAGCTTCTCAACAGTCTGTACCTCTTCTCACGTGAAACTGGCTGAAGCATGTAAAAGCCCCAATGGGAAAACAAAGCAATTCTAATTCCCGTTAAAGGAGACAGACCTATACTGCTGAATGAAGGCCCAACGCTTAGGGTGACCAGATGTCCCGATTTTATAGGGACAGTCCCGATTTTTGGGCTCCTATTACCCCCCACCCCTGTCCCGATTTTTCACACTTGCTGTCTGGTCACCCTACCAACGCTGAAGGGTGTTTTGAGAATTCAATGCTAGGTTCGCTCTGCTCCGGATGAAGTCAACGGGAGCAGAGCGCGGGCTGCCGCCTGCCTGCTTTGGAAAAAATCTCACCCCTAGAATGCAAACTCTTCAGCACTTCTAAGCAAGTCCGTGCAGGCAGGGTCATGAGCGATGATGCATTTCCCTGTAAACTACGCCCTGGGGTGAAGAATCCCTTCGCTTGACGCACCTCAAACGGAACGTACCTCTGCCAACGCCATGATTGCTCCTCGGTGCTTTGCTAGTCTAGCTCTGTGCAGCCTGGTCATTGCCCAAAGCGGCGGCTCAGGTAGGCAGATTTTTTGCTTGTTTTTCTCGTGGTTTGATATCTGAGAAGTGCAGCGAGGAATGACTGCAAATGTGGTTTCCTCACAGCAGAGGGGCTGCCGGCCAGCAGCAGCCCTGTTCGCAAAGGAACCAAGCCAGGTCCCACTGGGATTCCTTAGCTGGGTCTCATAACGGCCCCTGTACAAGGAGGGAAATAGTCTGCCAAAGTTACGGCGCTTGAGTGCAATCTGGCCTCAATGAGGAGTAACCTCTGCGGCCCATGATGTAAGACTAGTGTGAAAGGGGCATAAGAGGAGACGGGCTCGTCATTACTAACTGCTCATTAGACAGACTTCTGAGGCCAGTCCTAGAGGTTTCCAGTGTATCCTTTGTAGATAATGAAAAAAGTACCTGATCTGAAACATAGTGGGCCTGGCCCACAGTTGTGAAAACTGGTGTAGCCCTAGTGAAGTCACCAGCCAAGGTCCTGCCTCCTGGCATTCCATGTTAACCCCCAAGCTTTTCACTCACCTCTGGGGGGAGTTGCTAGTGTTAATGCTTAATTCCCACTGGTTTCAACAGGCGTTCGGGGACCTAAATACCTTTGGGGATCTGGGCCTCAGGATCAGACCTCTCCTGAGGGGAAAGGAAATGGTGCACATTTGATCTGAGAATCAGTAAGAGAGCAGGAAATATTTCAGCAAATTAGTAGCAAACGTTATGGAGGGAAGAATAACAAAGAGGCAACAAACAAGTTAACTTCTTGTAGGCATGCTGCAAACCTGGACTATTTGGTCCGGACTATTCACCTAAGCTCTGGACCAGATAAGTAGGGGCGGAGCCCACTGTCAGGGCCCTGAGTGTTAAGACTGAACTCAGATTCTCCATTGTCTAGCCCCCCCTGTGCTGTCATTTGCACCAGTGCAAAGTGCTTGTAGAATGTTACTCGGTGAATGGGTGCACTGGTTTACCGCCAATCGGTTTTTAAACTAGCCCAACCCCCGTGTGGATGCTCTTCCTTCAGTTTGCTTTACACCCGTACCTAACCAAAATAAGCCCATGGAGGGCTTTGCACTGGCTTCGCTAAATCAGTTTCAAATCACACCTCTACTTAAGCCCATGTAACTTGCGCATGTAGGCAAAGGCCAGGACAGTAGGGTTATTCACCCATTCCGCACTCAGGTGCAGGGACCAGCCCCCGTGTCCATGTGAAGTCTGCATCCTCCTCCACTGTCCTGGAAAGAAGTGGTTCCTGCTCCCCAGACTGGTGAGCAGAGCAGCCTCCGAACCAAGCAGCATAGGGGCTGAAGGGAGGAAGGACGATGAAGTGGTTTATGACTTAGGAGACCTGGTTCAAGTCCCTGCTTCAGCACAAACTCCCTGTGACCATGGGCAAGTCCAAGGGATTTAGGTGCCTAACTTCGACTGATTTCAATGGGACTTAGATGCCTAAATACCTTTGAGAATCTAGGCCTTGGTCTGTCAGTGCCTCAGTTTCCCCATTGGGGACACTAGCATTTCCCTAGCCCACAGGGGAGTTGTGAGGATAAATACATTAAAGATGGTGAGATGCTCACATACTACAGCCATGGGGGCCATGTCAGGACCGTAGCTAGCTAGAGACTTTCTCCCACTCCCAGCCTGTCTAGGCCCCTGCATGGAGCTGGCAGGATGGCGCTCCTGTGCATGAGGGGGTCTGATAACTCCAAACAGCTCTTTTCAGCAACGGAAAAATCAGTCCCATTTTTGACACTAGCCCCGGGTTTATTTTAATGTTATAAACCGAGGATTGTCCTGCCACATGGAAAAATTGAAATTTGCCTGATTTGGTTTTCTTTAACCCAACTGAAAAAAGAACATGCCCCTGCCCCTCCCAGGCCACCTTCCCACCCCATCTTTACTTATATAGCATCTGGAGCTACCGCAGGTTCCTGTGCGTGCTGGGGTATCCATGTCCATCTGCGTACTGGGGTCTTTGAGGAGAGAGAGTATTGCAGGAACTTTGTGGATGAAAAGGGGAGAATTGCATTCAGGGATCACACACCTAAGCTGAAACTTTGTGCCAGGTCACTGCAGCCTTTGTGTGGGAAAAACTGTTTTGCTTCTGCACGGACTGCAGTCATGCGCCGTTTGCGGAGAACCAGCAAGTCAGGTGTATCCATGACAAGCGGATTTTTGTTGAGGGAGCAGGGCTGGGAGAGGGCTTATTAAGTGGGTTATTTAAGTCTGACCCAGCTCTAACCCTGTACGTGACTAGGTCGCCCTTAAGTCTCACGAGCACTGCTGTTGTTACAAATGGGGAAACTGAGGCAACGAAGTCGCACAAGAAATCTCTGGCAGAGCCAGGAACAGAACACAAGCCTCTTAAGGTTTGTCTACCCGGCACAAGGGAGCGTGGCTTCTAGCCCAGGTAGACGGACATGTGTTAGCTGGGTGAAAAGAGCAGTGTGGACGTGGTGGCGGAGACAGCTGCACCCAGGCTAGCTAGCTGAGCTCAGACTCAGGGTGTCAGGTGGGCTTGGACTCAGGCAGCCATGTCCACCTGGCTATTTTTAGTGTGCTAGTTTGAGCGGAGCTCGCACAAGTCAGTCTAGCCAGGCTGGGAGATTTGCCCACAGCTGCAATGCAGACGCCTCCCGAGTTCCCCGCCCTGTGCTTTAACCACTAGACCAGTTCTTCCTCCTCAAGGACTAGAGCAAATGCAAACCTACTCATTTCAAAACCTGCGTTCCTGTTTTATGTCTTTTTCCTCCCTTTTTAGTCAATAGCGTTGAGTATTTAAGGCCGTTTGTAAAGTACCAGGAGAAAGTGGCTTATGACAGAGCAGCTTTGGAATGGATGCATCAGAGGGCAAAAAGAGCCACAGAAGAGCATGAAAAAACCATCCAGTTCGAATTCCAAGCCTATCAGAGGTACGTTTGTGACGGGTTCCCCCCGGGGTGCCACCTGGAACTGGGGTATCACTGAGCCCCCCTGACCCACCAGCCCAGGTGACAACCTGCTGGACCCGCTCCCGGTCTTACACTTCCACCAGCCTTCACCCAGGCAGGGACGCACCCTGCTGCAGACTCTCTGACCAGCCACACACCGCCGGCTGGAGGATAAACCCAGAGTTATGCCGTCTTGCGCTGCACAGGAAACTGCACAGCGTAAGCTCATAGAGTTCGCCCCTCCCTCAACGTGGGGAGGAAAACCAACAGCTCCCGCCCCTTGAGCTAAGATTCCCCCAACTTCACTCCAAACCTACTGGTTTAGATTAAAACATAAAATAAGTTTATGAATTACCAAGATAAATTTTAAGTGACAGCAAACAGATCAAAGCAGATTGCCTTGTAAATGAACAAAAACGCAAACTAAGCCTAAGATACTAGACAGATAGGGTAGGAATTAGCAAATTCTCACCCTGGCTGATGGTACAAGCCGGCTTGCAGATTCTTAAGGCACAAGCTGCATTTGCTTTGCAGCTGGGGATCCCCACCCCCCTTTCCGAGTCCTTTTCTTTTGCCGCTCCTCTTAGGTGTCCAGTTAATAATATAATATATGGAGATATACCTATCTCCTAGAGCTGGAAGGGACCTTGAAAGGTCATTGAGTCCAGCCCCCTGCCTTCACTAGCAGGACCAAGTACTGATTTTTTGCCCCAGTGGCCCCCTCAAGGATTGAACTCACAACCCTGGGTTTAGCAGGCCAATGCTCAAACCACCGAGCTATCCCTCTCCCCTAGGGGAGTAAAGAACAATTGATGATGTCACTCCCTGCCTTAAATAGCTTTAGCATGTGGCAGGAACCCTTTGTTTCAAACTTGGTTGCCAGACCAGTTTGTGAAAAAAATACTGACCCTAGGGTGACCGGATATCCTGATTTTATAGGGACAATCCCAATATTTGGGGCTTTGTCTTGTATAGGCGCCTATTACCCCCCACCGCCTGTCCCGATTTTTCACACTTGCTGTCTGGTCACCCTAACTGACACCCCAGAATGGAGCTCAGAGTCATGTGGTCTGGGTCACATGTCCTTGAAAAGTTATAGCAGCCATAACTTACAGGCTGGCCGAACGTTCACAGGAAGGTTCAGCTATTCCACAGCCCATTGTCTTTGTCGATGAGCCATTAGCACTGGCTGACTTCTTCGTTGTTGTACCTGAAAGGCTGGCTGTGGGTGTTTTCCAGAGTAAGCCCATTTGAAATGCAGACCCATAGCCAGAACTTCGAATCCAAAAATGATGCACGCATACAAACAGGATAATCATATTCGGCAAATCATAACTTTCCCAATGACGCCTGACATGACCCGTCTTGTACAAAATCCATCACAGCTATGCCAGAATCATATCATAATATTACTAGGATGAATATGGGGTGTCGTGTCACGTGAGCCCATGTCTTTGTGCATATGGGTAAAATCCTGCTTGGCTTAAAGTTACTGTGGTTTGCAGCCCAATAATAATCGGAAATCAAGGGGCTCTGTACCGTAGGGACCTTCACTTTTGTTGCAGGAACTGAGGGAATACCTTTGCCTATTCTGTTTTGTTTCAGATTGTATGCATAGCGTTATTAGTACCGATCATTTGTACTGTGGTAGCGCCTGGGAGCTCCAGTCACAGACCAGCATCCCTGAAGTCCTGTGACTCACTCTTCACCTTTTCGCTTACCTTCCAGGACATTCAAGCTGAGGTTAAGCAGGGACACGAGTGCTTTCGCCAGAGACTTTGAGATAACCGGGAAGGCCACCTCAGAGCCTACAGATGTTTCTTTCATTTACTCTGGTGTCTTGCAAGGTAAAAATTAGATAGAGCCCTGCAGAATGAAATCCTGCCATAGGATAGTCAGAGCAGGGCATGCAGCCTGATCCTCCGACCTGGAAGAGACGGGAGCTCCTACTCCAGGGCCCCTTCTCTTTCAGGTCTTTCCGCTTAGTTGTGCTGGTGGTTTTGTGCTGTGGGCACCTACCTGCTGGCACATTAACTGAGCCCCATCAGACTTGTTCCACAGACACTAATGCAGCTCCCATCCTTACTGACAGCGATTTGGGCACCTGGTTTGATTGTGCCGGGCACTGCCAACGTTCCCAGGACTAGCAGTATTGCATGGGGGGGCTGAGTTCAGTCTGGTGCATCCTGGAACGTTGGGATCAGCAGTGGCTGGGAACGTTGCAGGGAGTCCAGAGGACAGGGAGCCAGTTGATTTGCTCTGGAGTGACCCCCCGTGGCCATTGTATCAGGCAACCCCCCCCCCCCCCCCCCAGCAATGAGTGACGCTGGAGCCCGAATGCTGAGGCAAGCCCAGAGTGCTAGAATTGGCAGGGGCAGAGGGTTACATGCCCTACAACAGCCACGGCAGTGGGTTCTGGAATAAGGTTGCCTTTTGCTCCACACCTTGGTGATGAGCTATACCCAGAATCCAGGGGCCAGTCAGCCTAGATATGAACAGCTGATCCATAGTTATTAACCCCAGGCAGGCCCTTCAGTTACCAGGGGGGAGAACCAGGTCAAGGTTCCTTCTCATTGTCTATGTCTGGATGCCTGAAAACAGACGAGCCTGGATCTTTCTGCCATGGTGCCATCATCAATGGCCTTTTCAAAGGGTTTATCAGAACCAAGAATGGCACCTACTACGTGGAGGCTCCTGGTGCATCTGCCAGCAATGTGACGTCGCCAGGCCATGCTCTCATCCACCATGAAAGCGACATTGGTGAGTCCTCAACTCGGCTTTGGCACGACTGAGCATAGTAAAACGATTCTTGGCACTTCAGTCTCCCCTGCTGTGGTGGCCTGTTCCCTTTGCACTTCCCCCTCTTGACCTCTAAGGATTTCGTAAACACTGAATACAGTCATTAAGACTCGCAAATCCCCTTTCAACGGTGCATTCTGATGTTCCATTTTGCACGTGGGAAAACTGAAGCACAGCGAAATGAACTGACACATCTACAGTCATCCAGCTAGTCAGTGGCAGAGCTGGGAACGAACCCAGGAGTCCTGACTCCCAATCTACCCTTGCGTTAGCCACTGGGCTTCACTGCCCTCCCAGAGCTGGGAATAAAGCCCTGGAGTCCTGATCCCCAATCCTCTGTCACAAGCACGCTCAGTATTGCCCATGGGTGTTTGGAAGTGACGTCGCTCGTTTTGCGTATCATCCCATTGTGATATTTCTTTGAGTAACATCTGAATTTCTGCTCTAGATTATTCCATTTTAGAAGATCCAGACTCTGCTCCTTTGACAAGGAGAACACATCAGGTCTTGCAGAATTTCCAGCAAGAGCTAAAATTAAAGGTGAAGTGAAATTGAAGAGAAGCATCTTACGTGGAAATGAAATAATTTTAAGATTGTGCTGCAAAAAAAAAAAAAAAAGACTGCCCGGGGGCATTGATTGCTTTGAATTCACTGAATACGTCTGTGTAGAATGTGACATGATGGAATTCTAAGGACTTCGCTTTTCAGAGGCCTGGATCTCTCTTTCCTAGCTAACTGTTATGGTCTGTGGGTTCCCAGCGAGAAAGAGACAGGAGGCTAATTATATGGCTGAGAATGCGGGGTCCAGCTCAGAACGTCCTCTGCATTTGGGAGAAGAGTTGGTTGGTTGGTTTAAAAAAAAAATTTAAACATTTCCCCAAGTTTTTTGGTGAATTTTTGAAATTTGCAATTTTGTCCGAAACCTGAAATTTAAAAAAATATTTGCAAGCTGGAGCCAAAAAGTGTGTGTGTGCGGGGGGGGAGGGCGGGGTAGAGAGACTGCAAACATGCCATCAACAGTTTTTTCCTGCTTTCCCCACACCCCAATTCAAAAGTTCATTGAAATTTCAAAATGTGAAACTTTTCTCTCAGTTTTATTTGGGAGAGTTAAGATGTGGGTGGGTCGGGGTGGGGGTGGGGGGGGAGAGAGGCAGTTGTTTGGGCCCATATTTAGTTTAGTCCAGGCAAACAAAATCCCTGAGTCTTGAGGCAAATTATAATTCCAAAACCCTGGGCCAAGCTTCGTCAGTTTCATCTCATAATTTCATAAAGTTTTAGGTCCAAAGGGACCATTAGATACATTTAGTTTGGTCTCCTGTGTATCACAGGCAGGGCCAGCGCAACCCATTAGGCGATCTAGGCGGTCGCCTAGGGTGCTACAATTTGGGGGGCGGCGACTGCAGCAGAATTTCGGTGGCGGGACCTTCCGACGCTTCTGTGGGGGGCAGCATTTTGGGGCGGGACCTTCCGCTGCCTAGGGCGGCAGAAAAGCTGGCGACGCTCCAGATCACAGGCCATTACATTTCACCCAGAGACCCCTATATTGATCCCAGTAACCTTAGTTAGATCAAAGCACCCCGGTCCTCAGGAGACTAAACTGTTGTGTGCCACAGGCAAAGAGCAGGAGAGACTGAGGTGCACCATTGCCCGTTGCCCCTGCAATGGCAGGGAATTGATTAGGTGCGCTATGCCGGTGCCCCATGCTGGCGCTGCAGAGGGAGGTGAAAGCCCTTAGAAACACGCTTCATTGTGGTTGGTCAGTCAGCCGCTCATCTGTCTCTGGCTTCCATCGGACACCAGCCAAAACGTGGGTGGCTTTCAGCTGAACTTGGCTTTGAAGTTTTGGGTTGGTTTTGAAGGCAGGTCTCAGGATGGGAACCCAGATGAACTGGAACAAATTTAAAGGTTAACGTGAGTCCTAGGAAGGAATTTCCTCTGTGAGCAAACTATGGCAGGCTAGTCCCTAAACATCCATTTGTGCTTGCGGTTTCCTTCGGACCAGCCAGTTCTGGCTACGCTCAGAGGCAGGACGCTGAACTAGACGGACCACTGGTCTGATCCACTCAGTCAGGGCCATTGGCTTTGATTTAGCAAAGCATCACTGTTCCGCGGAGCATGAAGCACATATTTGGCTTTATGCACCTGCATCAATCCCCTTGACTTTGCTGAATCAGGGCCTATGTTCCTAACCGAAGTTGCTGCTGTTTTGTTCAACTTTAACTGAGGATCTTACTATGCACTTAACTCTTGCCGAAAAGGGAGAAACCTTGGAGAGGCAGAGAAGGAGTCTGGATTACTCTAGGACGTCCTGCTTGCTGTACCTTCAAGCCGACTACTTGTTCTACCAAAGATTTGGCACTATCGAAGCAGTGATTGCTCAGGTAAGAAACTGGGTGTTTTTAATTAATGAATTAATATTTATTAATGTTCATTGTGTAATCCAAAAAGAACATTTGACAAATATCATGCTACTAAAATGCTTGTCTTGCTGTATAAAACGTCGCCATTGTAATGATGTTAGTGTTTAAATGGCACCTTCGCATCCCATCCATTCACCCACCACTGAAATGCAGCCACCTCTGGTGGAGGAACTTGGCAGCTGTTTAACAGTACAAAGCCAACACCGTGAAAGGGGTTAGGCCATGTCTACGTTACAGTGGCACAGCTTCCTACGTCAACAGAAGGGATTTTCCCATTGATGTAGGTAATCCACCTCTCCAAGAGATGGATGGAAGAATTCTTCTGTCGACCTAACCGTGTCTACAGCAGAGTTTAGTTCAACCTAACTGCAGTGCTCAGAGAGTGAAATTTTTCACAGCCCTGAGCCCCCTAGCTAGGTCGATCCAATTTTAAGTGTGGACCAGGTCTTGCAGATGTGAGCTGTACAACTGAAACTACAAAGCAGCATCAACTTATGTTCGAGAGGGGTTTTTTTGGATTTAGACTCAGGAGATCTGCGGTCAATTCCTGTCTCCTTTGTCAACATCCTGGATGACCCAGGGCGAGTCATTTAATCTCTCTGGGCCCCAGTTCCTCACCTGTAAAATGGGCATAATAATAATTCCTTTGTCTCCCTTGCCCATTTAGATTACGAGCGCTGTGTGTCCTGCATCTAACACCATGGGCCCTGATCATGGATGGGGCCTTTAGGGACAAGTGCCCTAGAAATAAGAAGACGTTTTAGGTATATTATTGTCAGGGGAACTGCCAGGGGGATCGCTTCTGCCCTGTAGGGCTCGCTGTAGCCTTTTGCTAAAACAATGTCCATTAGATTGTGGACTAACCTTCTGTAAAGCGGAATCCTTTTTTTCCCCCATCAGAACAAGAACAATAAGACCTGCTACCCGCATTTTTCTTTATGCTTCCGATCAGTTCACACGTGAGGAGAATAAAAATAATCCCTCCCTCTCATCGAGTGCTTTTCATCAGCAGATCTGAGAGCGCGTCACAAAGGATGTCAGTATCAAGATCTCCATTTTACAGATGGGGAAACCGAGGCACAGATAGTTGACATGATCTGCCTAAGGTCATCCAGCAGGCCCATAGCAGAGCCAGGAATAAAACCCAGATCTTCTGAGTCCTGCTCCAGTCACAAAAAGCGTGGGTGCTTTTTTTGGTCATATGAACATTTGTCTCCCCCTGCAGATTGCTAGCTACATAAAAGCTGTGAATGCAATTTACGAAGGTGCAAATTTTGACGGTATCAGGCACATCGACTTCAAAGTGAAAACCCTCAATGTAAGTCGACCGGGCACTTAGAGCTGGGTTTGTCTCAAAACTCAAACGCCAGGGCAGACGGGTTTCAGATTGAATTTTCTAGCGGGCAGTGTGGAGGTGAATGAAAACTGGCCTGACAAGAGGTGATTTGAAGGGGCCTGGATGGGTCAGGGGTCTTTCACTCTCAGGTTGCGCATTCAAATCTCATTTATGGTGGTAGCAATTGCAGTTTTCATTGGGCGTCTCCCCTGCTCTGCGTCACAGGCAGTAATCGCCTGCCTGGCTGGCTTGTGTTGTGTCCATTCTGCAGATAATCCAGGAGAACCATCCTTCTGGCTCTATGAAGTCACCTTTCATCGGCCCAGAAATGCTGCTGATGCTGCACTCCGGTTCCAACTGGAATAGCTATTGTCTCTCCTACCTCCTCACTGACAGGGATTACAGCGGAGTTCTTGGGATTGCTTTTAATGGACAAGCTGGTAAGAAAGAGCTTTTGGTTATTTGTATAATGTTTTGTCCAATGATAAGTGGGATCATTATTACTGGAGACACCAGGTGGCGCTGTTACACATAGTCTTAAGTGTTCTTTTTCTTAGCATGTGCTCAGTGTGTAGTGGTTACAGAAATGTGTTTGGTTTTGTGATGCAGATTCACATGGGGGAGCTGTTGCAAATAGCAAGAGAGTTTCTGCTCTGAGTGTCTCTAACTAGAGTTGATGATTGGGGACGAGTTGCTTGCAGCATTGGAGTCTGGGCAGAGAGTTCTGACAGAGGCCTTGCCTGCATGCTGTTCGTGACCATCTCTGCTCAAGGGCAGGTGGTATAAACCAGCAGCACTTGGAAAGCGCACGCCCTCTGCCTCACTGCGTTCTCCTCTGATAGGAAACTGAAACCTGCTACTGCTGTTAATATTCATGTAGTACCTAAAGGCCGCAACCATGAACAGGGCCCTATTGTGCTAGATCAACAGTCGGAGACTTTGTCTTTTACATCATCCCACAGCCTCCCCCCCCCCCAGACCTGTAGCTGGTCCAAGTGCAGAACACTGGCTTGAAATCTGCAGGAGTTCTGCATTCTGAGCAGCTTCCAGACCCAGGTGCTTTGCTCCCTGCTTTTCCGGCTTGCGTCACCAAGACCGTCTGTTTTTCCTTTCTGTTTCAGGCGACTTGGGGGGGATATGTTCCAAACACAGGAAATTCCGGGACAAGGAGGTGTCTCTGAACACTGGCTTGATCACGCTGCAGAAATATGGCCAATATTTGCCTCCTAGGATTCTCCATATCACTCTGGCCCATGAACTTGGCCACAGCCTGGGAGCTCCGGTGAGTACAGCGGGTGCATGACACAGTGGGCGTGACATTGAAAAGCAAAGGCAGGTGTTGGCCTGAAAGCCTCCCCTTTGACAAACAGCCGAACCAGTTGCTTGGCGGAGAGAACAGCAATAATAGTTTACATTTCCCAGGGATCTCAAAGCACTTTACAAACACAGGTACAGAGCAGATGCAAGCTCACACAGGGAATTTGGCATAGAACCCAGGTCTGGAGGGGCCCTGTGCTAATACCTTACCAACTGGCCCATCTTCATTTCCCACAGGGCTGTTCCAAAGTCCAATAAAGTCACTGGGTATCTTTCCATTGATTTTGGATCCGGCCCTAAACAGGGATACACCTTAGTTCTGGAAATGTGTCCGGAACAAACCCTGGGTTCTGAGCACCCCCAAACCTTGCAGCCTGGGCTTGTTCCCTAGTTTTTTTTTAACTCTTGCTTCGAGGAAGCTGGGTGCAGCAGCCAAGCTGCCAAATGGCTGGCATTCAAACGCTTTCGCACGCCTCCGGGAGGGTGCGTGGCTGGGGCTTTGTTCGTGACTGGATAGGTTTATATTGCTGTTGAATTCACTTATTGGCTTGTATCACGAAGCCCAGGGCTTTGTAATATTTAATTAGGATTTGTAACGTGAAAGAACCGTGGAGTCTGCATTGATGGATTTGCTGGGTTACTAGCTTGTGTAATGAGGGGTGAATTTACCTGCTTGTGTGGACGCTGAGTCAGAGGGGCTGACCTCGGGTTTACAATAACTTGCTCCCCTGAACCAGAGGTTTAAGTCTAGGCTCAGATTCCATGAGACAGATACACGGACTTGCTGGGCTGTGTTGAGCTGCTCTTCCAGGCGAGACGCTAAAACCCAAGCTCTTGCCTGCTCGGGGTAAGCGTTAAAGATCCCATGGCGTCTTTTGCATTGGCTGGGGCTGGGATGCGGGATCTTCCTCAGGCCTTTGTCCTCCCTCAGGACCCTCACTGATCCCGGAGATGCTGGAAAAGTTGACTGAAGAGAGCAACTATCAGGGATGGCAGCAGGTGGATGATGAAACTGGGTGGTGTTGGGCTGCTGTGTTCTACCCCAGAGGTGGCTGCATTTGGTTGAGTGAACCATTCCTGTGCCGTCGCTTTATTATTGTTGTTATTCATTACACACTGTATTATGAATAATATATTGTTAATATGCAAGATAATTATATAAACAACAATGCAGTGTTGCTACAGAGCCCAACTGAGATCAGAGACTGATTGTGTTAGGTGCTGTATATACCCATAGGAAGAGACAGACTCTGCTCTGAAGAGCCTACTGTCTTGTCTATCTCAGGGTTTTATTCTGCTGTCTAAGCACCTTCCACGTCAAATCAATAGCAATAGCGAAGTCCCTAGCAGACTTTGCAGAGTCTGTGGCACTTCTCCCTTTTTGGGGTCAGAACTCTGCTTGGGGGAGGAGTTTGGGGGGGGTGTTTTCTTGGATTTTATTAAAAATAGACAAGCCAAAGGCTGCGAGGGGAAACCGAGGCACAGAGCAGGGAAGGGACTTGCCCAAGGTCACCCAGCAGGTGAGGGCAGAGCCAGGACTGGAACCCAGGGCTTTTGAAGCCTAGGACGCTAGATGACACTGACTGTATAAAGTCTGTGAAACAATTTGAGATGAAATGTGCGATAGCCATGTATTATGATGATTCTGTTACATATTAATAACATGAAAGGATTGTACTGCATATGAACATCTAAGGGCCTCTAAGATTCTAACCCCGTTTTTATGTTCAGACAATAGAATCAGCGCGCTCTCTGTTCCTGTATTCCAAGAGTCTGATCTTCTGTTTCAGCACGATGAGAGTGAGGAGTGCGCCCGTTTCAGCTTCGACACCACGCATGGGAACTACCTGATGTTCAGCTACGCCACAGACGGATGGCAGTACAACAACGACAAATTCTCCCCGTGCAGCATTGAATACATCGGGAACATCCTAAGAGCCAAGAAGGACAGGTGCTTTGTTGGTAAGACCCGGTAGCTGTGTTTGAATTGTTTAAATTCCACCCAGCATGCATTGCAGATAATTCACGGGTTCTTTGCTCAGGGCCAAGAGAGCTCTTAATCTGGGAAGGATTTTATAATAAAGGGGTAAATTTTGCTTCACCGGAGTTGGAGGCAGGTCTCACAGATGGCAAAATATTTGCAAAATCTAGAATTATTAATCTGGGCGAGGCAGCTGGATATCACAACTATGGGGTGATGATTCATGATTAAAATAGAATAGAATATTATGGTGATTAAACAGATGTGTGTATGGGAGGGCGGGAAGAAGAGATAGATGTGCATAAGGATAGATAGATTGATTCAGCGAGGCCTTGACTGGGGTATTTAACATTTGGAAGGGGCCAACGAAGATGGTTCAGTCTCTCTTTTTAGCAGTACCATATTAGAGGAATAAGGGGTTATTCCATAAAACTGACAGCTGGTAAATTTGGAAAGACTCACTGCAGCTAGACTTTATAAAAGTGCTGAGTAATTTTAGGACCAAGGACAAAATATGCTCAAAATAAAGGTCAAGCAAAGCTCACACGTCAGGGCACAAGCAGAGGGGACACGGGCCAGATAAGAAATTCTGCTCTTCCCCGTCCCTTCCCGCAATACACATCATCGTAAAAAACAACTTTAAGGCATCATTGGCTATTGTCACCAAGCATCAAAAGTATGCCACTGTTAGACGTGCTGGTCCAATGATCTGACCTGGTATGGCTGCATCTCGAGATAGGGAAACCATTGTGATGATGGCTGTTTTTCTCCTCCCCTGGCAGAAACTGACCGCCCCATCTGTGGGAATCAAATTGTAGATCCAGGGGAGGAATGCGACGTGGGCAACAATGACTCTGACCCTTGCTGCTATGCTGCCAAGGAGCCAAACGGCATCCGGTGTAGGCTGAAGCCAGGAGTGCAGTGCAGGTAGGCGTCTCCAGCAGGGGCTCTCCACCTTTCCAGACGACTGTCCCCCTTTCAGGAGTCTGATTTGTCTTGCCTACTCCCAAGTTCCACCTCACTTCAAAACGACTCGCTGACAAAATCAGCCACAAAAATACAAAAGTGTCACAGCGCACTAGTACTGAACCACGGCTGGCTTTCTCATTTTGACCATATAATTATAAAATAAATCACGTGGAATATAAATATGGTACTTACATTTCAGTGTACAGCACCGGGAGCTGTATAAACAAGTCAGGGTCCATATGAAATTTTATTTTGGACTGACTTCGCCAGTGCTTTTTATGTAGCTTGTTGTAAAACCAGGCAAATAGCTAGATGAGTTGATGTAGCCTCTGGAACATCTCTGTGTACCTCTAGGGGTACAGGTACCCCTGGTTGAGAACCACTGGTCTACAGTGTCTGATCAGTGGTTCTTTCCCCTCCCATGCAGACTCTGGAGGGGGCACTTGTTTTACAGTCGTTCCAAAATCCCCCACATGGCAGTTTGCTGGAGATGCCAAAGGTTACTTAAAAGGTGCATTTTGAGGGTGCGTTCTTGCCCTCACTGGACACTGCAGGGAGCGAGCTGTGTTAGTTACGAGAAGTGTCCAAGAGGCCCCCACGTAATAAACCTCACGGAACGTGGCACCGTGAATCTGACCCCTTGTTGGGCTCTGACCCTGTGATTCCACGGTGTCTAGGCATTTTCAGACCTGATGCTTAAATCACTGAACCATCCTCTCCTGGGAGAGCTCAGATGGCTTCACGGACATCTAGGAAATGACAGCCCCTGCCTGAAAGAGCTTCCAGGCTACAAGGCAGGCGGAGGAGATGAACAAGCCGGACAGGGCAGGGAGACAGAATAACAGTCATAGGATGTGTTTAATTCCTGTCCAATCAAAGCCCCTTGGGTTTGCTCCAAGAAGGCTGCCCCTCCCCAGCCCTTTACAGTCTCTGTACCTTCCCTGAGTCACTACTGGGAGAAAGGCTGGCTCTGGGTACAGTTACGCTACGGGTCTTGGCTTCTTCTCCCATTTGATTCCGGAAGCCACTGTCTTCCATTTCTACACCACCTTCATCCAGAGCTAACCTTCATTATTTAATCCCTGCCCCACTGGGTAGTATTAGACCCATTTGTCAGAGGCAGAAACAGAGGTCCACGCCTCAAATTTAGGCACCTAACTCCCCTTGAAATCAGTGTAGGTGCCTAAATCCCTTGGAAGGTCTGGGTTGAAGGGACTTGATAGCGAGTCAGTCGCAGAATTGGGTAGAGAAGCCAGGAGCCCTGCCTGCCTTTCCCCTGCACTAACCACTAGTCTCCACTCCCTTTGCAGAGCTGAGCATAACACCCAGCAGTCTTGGCTCCCAGGGCCCCACGCTCAAACCGCCAGACAAATACCACCTCGGCTAACCAAACCCACCTAAAAATGAATTGGGAGGGTGTCAAGCACTGGCCAGAGCGAAGAGCAGCATGGGAGCTGACCTAGGGCGGTTATGGTTCAGGTCATAGCCTGCAGCTCCGTAACATTGTTGATTACTTACATGTGTTTATATGTACGTTTCTCACTCTTCCAGCTCAAGCCAGGGCCTGTGCTGCAGCCATGAATGTGTCTATAAACTCCAAGGGGAGCTCTGCCACGAGGAGACGGATTGCACCTTTGAGAGCACCTGCTCTGGGCAAACAGCTGAATGCGCCGCTCCCCTTCCCAAAGCCAATTACACTCTCTGCAGCATGGGGACACGGATCTGCTTAAATGGGGTTAGTGCTCAGAGCCAACCAAAGCACCCCCAGGGGCCTGAGGCAGTTGGAGAAACTAAGAGCTGGAAGGTTTCAGAGTAGCAGCCGTGTTAGTCTGTATCCGCAAAAAGAAGAACAGGAGTACTTGTGGCACCTTAGAGACTAACAAATTTATTAGAGCATAAGCTTTCGTGGACTACAGCCCACTTCTTCGGCTGCATAA